TTCTGAATCACTCAAGCAGATGTTCCAGTTTAAATACTGTGTCTCATTTGGACCACCAACATATGTAGTAATTTATTAACAGGCTTTGTTGACTCTCTGGACATTTTCTGATTTATTTCTTAGATTTTTTTTTTTTAATCTCACCTTTATTTCCCCACTACCACCACCACCAATTCTCTATATTAGCTGGGCTTTCTGAAACATTTATCAGTTCAAACTGACACTGGTAATCTTCTGAGCCCTGAGTAGAGAACCACTCAGTTATTTTAGTAAATAGACTTAGATTCATATTGTATACCCAATAATTCACCTTTCAATCAGGCCACTTAGTTTTTCCTTGGATCAAAATGGTGACCTCACATCTTCAGAGCATGTTCCCATCTTGCTCCTACTCTTCAGAATTGACCCCTTTTTAAAGGTTCAAAAAGGTCCTTAATATGTTGCTTTTTAATTTCAAATTATAACAGTGTTCATAATGTTTGTTGTGTTGATTTTACATACACACACAATATTGTAATGTTACTGTTTTTATACTTTACTTAGGTATAAATACATACCAAATAATATCATTAGTTCCTAAACTTAATAAATAACTTTAAAATAGAATCTCATGATAGTTTCTGGACCATAACATGTCATGGTCATATTCACTGATATAAAACCATCTCAATTTATAGCGAAAGAAAAAAGGAAGGAAGGAAGGAAGGAAAAGAAAGAGAAAGAAAGAAAGAAAGAAAGAAAGAAAGAAAGAAAGAAAGAAAGAAAGAAAGAAAGAAAGAAAAGAAAGCCATTGGTTTTATTCAAGATGGTGATGAGCTGCATATAGACAGGAGGTTGAATAACAGGCCCTGTGATTCAGCTGTAACAGTCTGGAGCTGAATACGCTTAAAAGTATAGAGATGAGAGTGGATTTTAGAATGAGCCCTTCTATTTTACCACCTCTTACCATATTCAACAACAGAGTATCAGCAGTAAAGTCCTTCAAATTTTTGGATTCTATACTCTCCCAGGACTTGAAATAGACACTTAATATTAGAACCATCATTAAAAAGGCATAACAAAGAATGTTCTTCCTGCGTCAGCTCAGGAAGTTCAGACTGCCCCAAGAGCTGTTGATGCAGTTTTACAGAGGAATTATTGAATCTGTTATTTGTACTTCTATAACTGTCTGGTTTGGTACAGCAAGCAAAGGGAACAGGTACAGATTCCAACAGATAGTTAAGACTGCAGGAAGAACAATTGCAACCAGTCTGCCTGCCATAGACGACCTGTATATTGTGCAGGTCAAAGGGAGGGCTGAGAAGATATCTGCAGACTCTTCACATCCTGGACATAAACTCACTTTGGGATGCCCCTAAAAAAAGGGCATTGCAAGCCAACAACTAGACACAGAGGTAGTTTTTTCTCCTCGGGTCATCACACTGCCAAACACCTAATTCCCACAGTACTGTCTTATGTCTAAGGATATTTACCCATGTAGTAGGGCTGTAGTATTATTATTATTTATCCTTCTTATTATCTTTCTTACATTTCCCCTCTTATTGTTATTATTATTGTGATTATTATTATTATTCTGTTACTTTGCATGTACACTGAGACTACTGCACCGGTCACAAATTCCCTGTGTATATAATCACACTTATTCAAATAAAATATTCAATGCAATTCAATAAATATAAAGTTGTCAGTTTAATATGCAAGATACAGAAAAAGCATGTCTGTTTTGAAAATATGACATGTCCTGTTATTGTTCTTTTATTATTAGTCAGGAAATACAATTTTCCCCCTGTCAATTGTTTACTTGTAATGCATTCTAGAACAAAACTTGAGGGCTTTAAAAAGAAGATACATTATCCTTTCATTGACATAAGACTATTAGGAAGATGTTTCCAATAATTAAATTGGATAATGACTAATTTAAGGTAATAAATGCTGGTCTTTTATGGCTGAATTCAAGTTGTTATTCAGAAACTGCCAAAATGGGGGTAGAAGCTTCTTGGTCTATGAACAGGCCAAATAAGGAATAAAGTAGTTGAATATTACAACTTGAATATTAATTTGAGTAGCAACTTGAATATTAACCAGAGTTACAGCAATATCAACAATATTGTAGGGAAAACATACTGAGTGTTCAAAGCTAATTCATACTGAGTGTTCAAAGCTAATTCTTTTTCATTTCTCCTGCTCCTATTTGCTGTCCCTAAGTTGTCATTCTTACAAACTTTTATTACATGTTGGTAGAAGAGACAGAATATTTCTCGAAGTTATATTTAATTTTTTTATTTTTAACAAGTTATCATACAGAAATGTCTCAGTCTACTAAGCAAAATTTTAGCTTAAAGCTTTAGCATAAATCTCTTTACTATAATCTTAAAGCAATAAGCCTTAAAGGAATTTTAAAAAACTGCAGTGCTTTTATAGCTGAATCAAAATTTCCTATTCAGAGAAGTGAGTGTGTGACATCTTTGTGATTTTGTTAAGAAGCTGCAAATAGGGCAAAATAAGGATAAAATTAACTAGCAGTGGCAATCCTGCTCCTGCTGTTGAAGTGATATTACCTTTACTCACAAAATACCACTGCAGAAAGAATTATCAACTTTGAATTTGAATCCCTCACCACAATCATTGAGATGTGTGATTAGGTCCAAAACTCTATCAAAATGAGAGTAGTGCTTTCTGCTCTCAGTTTATCATTTTGATACCAAAAAAAACCATTGCTCAATGCTCACAGAATGGCAGCAACAGCTGCAAAACAGATAAATGAGCAGAGAAGATTTCAGCAAATGCTAGTTTTATTTCTAACAATTTGGCAGTTGACTCTTGGCTTTTTAGGGTCCTGGCTTGGAATGTGGTTGCAAAGCACCTGCTGAATATTCACAGGATGTAATCTGGGGTGGTCATTCACATAGAATACAAGAGACATTTTTACACGAAGTGCAAGTTATTATTTTTATTCAATAAATTTATATAATGCTTCCTCTTTAGTCACATCATAAAACAGTTTACAAGTTTAAAAAATGACTGGAGTTCAGTAATAAAATTAAGTGCAAAGATTTGCTAAGAGCAGCCATAGCTTGACACTGGAACCATTATTCAGACTGATACACACTCAGTAGTGGGCTGGGCTGAGCTCCCCTTTCTTTGGAGGTGTTCAAGCAGAGGATGGACAGCAGTCTGTTAGGTTGCTATTTGACATTGAACTAGGAGACAAAATCTGTTAAGATTTGTATGTCTGTGGAGATTCTGAGTCATCCAGGTCATAGTTGTCTCAAAAGTGCTTTTTCAAAAGGCAACTGGACTGTTTTTTCATTGAGGAAGAAGAAGAAATTTAGTTTCTCGTCCAAGAAATTCTATCAGTTGTGATGGGGGGAGGGAGGGAGGATGGGTTCTGACCAGATGATGGGAAAACTTCAAGTTCCAGAACTCTCAACAACAGCCATGAAGACAAGGGAGCTCTGGAACTTGGAAGTTACAAGATTGGGAATCACTGATGTAGAAGAGGAACTGCAGCTCATGTGTAGTTTTTTAAAAGAGTATACATTTTACTGTACTGCAGAAATTCCATTTATTGATCTTTGTATGAAATAACATTGAGGTTTGGAAGGAACAAAACAATACGTCTTTGCGTACTTTGAAAATGTTTCAGAAATGCTTCAAAATGTGTGCAACACATTTTTTTAATGAATTGACTCAATTGATTTGAATTGATTAAACTGTTGTGTCTTTTTTTGAGGCTTGCACAAAAGTAGGAAATAATCCTTATGTATCTTTGTGTTGGTATTTATAACTTAGCTACTTCACTTTACATTTTTCCTTTGCATTTAAAAACAGTTTACCTGTGAAATCAAACAATAAATGGGCAACACCGCCATGTTCTAATTTAGGTATTTGGAATTGATTGTTGCAAAAATCATTCCTTTGATCCAGCAGCACAGTTTTTGTCTGTAGTTCTTGTGGCTGTATCATGAAATGTCACTTTCTTAATTAATTGTTATACTGCTGCAGACTTGCAGTTTTAAAATGTTTTATTAAAAAAGGAACAGAAAGCAACCTTTAGATCATCAAAATGTATTCTTGTATTGCCAATTCAAATTGCACATAGTGTTAATTTTCCAATGTGCCATTGTTTCGGTGATATAGTAGTAAAGCTATGAATTTTTCAGAGGTATGATTCCAAAATACTGAAAAGCAACCTGTCATACATTTATTTATTATTTAACATATTTAAGAAGCGCACAGAACCATGATTTTATGCCTTTATGGAAGGCCAAGAGAGTGGGGGGCATCTCACCTCCAGGGGCAGCGTTTCCACATGGCAGGACCAACAGCAGAGAAGGCTCTCTTCCTGGACCCGGCCAATCAGAATTATTTTGCTAATAGGATCCGCAACATACCTTCCCTGTCTGACCAGGTAGGGCGAACGGATGTAAAGGGATGAAGAGGGTTCCATAGGTAACCAGGCCCCATATGCCATGTAAGACTTTTAAAGGTCATAACCAACATTTTGAATTGGACTTGGAAGCAGACCAATACCCAATGCAACTTGTGCAGCAGAGGTAGTACATCCTTTGAGTGCCTAAGGGTGGCCACATGGCTGCTTTTTGTACCAGCTGAAGATTTATTCCTGACATTCTTACAAAGCTATAAACACATGCCTTCTTTGTATCTTCTTAAATTTCACTTCTGTGCCTGGGATGACAGATATCATAGCTTACTGCTTAATAAGTAGCAATGTTATTTATAGTTCTTATCCCATATCATTCAAAGATGCCCCGGTATGCTTTGCTCCAAACATCTCAATATGGAATATAGCAAATTAATGCATTTTTTTACATTTCCAATGTGCCCAGTATCTTTACCTTTCTACTGACTTCTGAAAAGTTAGTAAATCAGAAATGTGTATAACAGCAGAAAGAATTATTTTGACTCCCAGCTAGAAAATTGTTTGCAATACTTGGCCCTGCCAAGATCTAAAACTACACTTATCTCTTTTTGCCTTCAGAAAACTGCCTGGAACAGAAGCAGAAACCACCCCGTCGAAGATGTCAGCAGCCCAAAGTGCTGAATAGCCCTGAGGATAACATATATTATAACCAGTTAAATGTAAGTTCAAAGTGGCCATACAGCTGTTTTACTGTCTTTGTTTCCCATTAATAATTCTGGTATTAATACCTGTTCTAAGCCTACCAGCCCCACCCCACCCCAGTGCCCTCTCCCCACTCCCACCCCAGAGTTCTTCAGCTCTCGTCTTGAACATGTGCTTATGCTCTTTATCTGTTGCTTTCATGTCAGGATGTCTGCCTTCACGGTGAATAATTGATGTGGTTTATCAAAGACGAGCAAGATGCATGCTTCATCAGGCTCGCTTGAGCCCTTTGATCAAAAAAATTATGCTGTGACTTCTGATATTATCAGCATCTGCTTGCATTCAACACAAAATCACTTTGAATTAAAAATTAACGACTTGCTGCTCTGCTTTGACTGTGTGTTCTTGGCCCTCTCCACAGGGAACTCTAGGATATCAAGGGAGCAAAAGGAAGCCAAGAAAACTTGGGTAAATATCCATCTTCTTAGTTCTAAGCAACAGTAAACAGAAGAAATCCTTTGTGAGATTATAGGAAAGGCGCAAACTTTCTAGAGCAATTTCTGAAAATCAACAGCAAGCTTCTTTCTCTTTGTAGCAGCTGTGGGCATTTTGCTACTGATGCAAAAGGAAAGTGTGCGTTTAATGTGAGCTGTATACACACGGGGGAAACGGTCTTTCCTGAGGAAAAATATGCTTCTCAGCAAAATGCAGGCAGTTCGTTTCACAATGAATTCGCTAAAAGTAGCCAGTGATGGCTCTTGTCAAAGTAAAGAGCTACAAACTGTGAACCCAGACATGACAGGAGGGACAGCAATTCAAAAATCCTCCTGATCCACAGCATAAACTAGCTGGAGGGGAAAAGATAAGAAGGAAGGTCACATGTTTCCACAAAGATCAGTTCTTGGCTATTCTTTCTTGGCTCTTGTGAAAGGGCTGCTTTTTTTTAATGTGGCATTCATTTTATTATTATGGTGACAAGCATTATGCCGCTAAGTATGTTGAGCTACATCTCTGAACACGCTGGCTGGAAATACTGAACAGTGTAGCCCAGAAGACCTGAAGGCTTGGGAAAGACCACATTATAAAGAGATATTTTTTTTCTTGGTAGGGAAAAATCATGATGCAATGGCCTCTGCATTATTTATGGCAGTACCAGAATCAAAGTCGGCAATAAAGCATGCTAAACACATGAATATAGTTTAGCTTGAGCCCCAAACAGCCATATCAGAGATAGACTGTGCTTTAAGTTTATCCTGTGATTTCCCTTTGTAGGAATCTATTGCAGGCGTATATGGGTTTAAAAGCTTTTAATAAAAATGGCTTCATTTTACTCCTACAGGGTTTAGAAAACATAAATCTTATTTTACACATCCATACTATCATTAGTGTCATATAAGAACAGTTGGTGATACAAGTACATGAGTATTAAACAAATGGAGGTAGAAGCCACCTTCATGCAGCAAAGCTAATTATCCACTTTTCTTCCTTGATATAATTACTTTTATTCCAAATGCCAGACCAACCAAGAAAATCTCCTAAACTGTCAGAAAAACTTATGTGAAACGTATAATACATCTTGTCAGCATGAATGGAGGCCACTTATAGTTCTCTAGAACTTGTCCATCAAACTTAAACTATCCAAACAAACAAATGTTAAATTATGTATGTTATCCATGTATGTACATTAGGCCTTACATTACTGTTTGGAAGTTTGTCATGGATGTCAGAGGAACAACTTTAGTTTTAGAATAAAGTCTTATTATGCTTGAAGATGTTACTGAAAATACATCATGAACAGATTCTTGATGGATGATAGAACACCTAACTGGATATAAGAAAAGATCTGGTGGCTGAGATCATAAAGCCAACCAGCTGCTTTTAAGAAGTCCATAAACTGAACTTGGGAGCAGTAGCTCTCTTCCACATGTGTTTCCCAGCAACTGTTGTTAAAGAGGCATCCTCCTTCAGGAGATAATAGAAGCCATTGATAACTTTATCTTTCATGAAATAAGAAGTATCTGAGCTGCTCTTGTGATTTATGCTTCTTATGCTCTTTACCAATATAATAATCAGAGATTAGGTATCTATATCTATAGTATATATCAGAGTAGAGATCAAAATGGGTTTTCCCAGGATTCTCCCACCTAAGTAAATGGTACGGTGAAGATTCATGTCTAGCTGAGAGTACAAATCACCTAATTAAAATCTGAAATTACTATAAATCAAAGCCAGAGCCTTCTATTGTGCTGAGTAAGCATCCAGAAGAAAGCAGATTTGCTGCTGTGATAAATGCTATGAGCTCAGGTCCTCTAGAAAAGCTAAATTCTTCACCAGCCTCTGTTAGATATTCACCTCAAAAGTAACATTTGCTCCTCCACTCAGACCAAGGCATTTCTTGTACCAATTAAACAAAAATAGCTAGAAATCTGATGTGCTGTTTGTAATGCTTTATTTTGTTTTAATTTTCCTTAGTCAAATAAAAGTGCTGGATTGGGAAGATGAGTATTACAAGTCATTATCAGTGGTAGATTCTATCACAGAAGAAGACAACACATTTCAACCCCTTCCTCCCTTTCAAAGCTGAACTTTGGCTCCCTAACTCATCAGTGTGAGGTTGGTAAGGAACCCAAGATGTGTTCTCATTTCTAGCTGATGTATGGATGTGTACATTGGTTGTATAATGTGCACATATGTATATGTTAGGAGCATATCTGCCAAATAGTGGTATATGCTATGCTACTCAATCAGTCTACTGCAGTGGTTCTCAGCCTGTGGTCCACAAAGTCTTGAAGAAATATTATGATTTAAACCTTGCATTAAGTTGGTGGTCCATGGCCAGGATCCGTGGCTACAAAAGGAATTTAAAGGGGGGTCTGTAGTAAAGAAAAGGTTGTGAACCATTAGTCTACTACATTCCAAAGAGGGAAATCAATATCACAAATTATCCAACCCCAAACATGGTACCTGGGAAAGTTTGACTTAATTTGTAATGCGAGGAAGATCCGTCCACCAAAGGGGGAGACTGTTAACATCCATTTAAAATCCAACATAAGGGCAGTGTTTGTGTGTGTGTGTGTGTGTCTATATATATTTGTCGTGTTTACATTATCTTGCAAAAGAGAATTCAATTCATTTCTTATTTTTCCCAGAAGAGAAGGAAAAGCATATCAAAAGCCTATGTAGCAGAAGACTTAATAACATACGATGAAAGCACTTAAATTAGCACCTTGTAGTTGTAGTTTTGAACTGAAGCAGAAAATTTTAAAACCAAAGCAAGAGAAACTACTTCATCTGACCACAGAAAATCAAATCCTGTTGGCCCTTTTTCTCATTAAAAAACAACTGGGAGCATTAGGCCAAGGACTTATCTAGTCCAGCATTTTGCTTGTATAATAAGCAACCAGCTATCACTTCAGAAGCTGACAGGCAGGACAGGGGAGAGGCAATACTAAATTTCCCCAACAACTAGCATTGATAAATAAGCTGCCTGTTAGCATGCAATAAACCTGTATTCATTTGAACATCTTGCTTCCGGATTTCTTGTGCCTGATACTGCCTCTGATATCAGAGGACTTGGTGATCAGTATGTCTAATCACCAGAGTTATCCTCTCCATCATGGGCTTGCCCAGCCACACAAACTCTGCAGTTCAGTTATATGCTTTGTGAACAAGCTCTTCCTTTCTTGCTGAATACTAAACATACTTACTAGAGTTAACCATCACTGAATTTAATGGGTCTTGATTCTGAGGCTCACATTGCTCGTCATGTTTTATCAATTCAACCCTATTCATGTTTTCTCAAAAATAACTCCATTGACTTATTTCCCAGTCAACATGTACTAAACCACAAAGTATACAGCTTTTGAAAAGTATTTGTGCTTCAGACTTTCTGCAGTATTTATTATTTTAGATATTCTGTGAAAAGTACCAGTAAAAACAGAAAATTAAAAAATGTACGAACAATCAACATTGTTAATGTTAATACGAAGGCACAGGAAGTAGTTATTTGGAATCTAAGTACTGTCAATACTAGCTCTTCTTCTCTATAACAACTCTGATGCATGTGCCGCCATTTCCAAATTAGGAGAAGTTGTACCTATTCTGAACCAGTGTCTGGATACAGTGATGGGTAAAGACCGATAAACTAAGATTGAAGCTGGACAAGACAAACACCTCTTAAATGGTGATTGTTGAGTACCAGAATTGGGTTCAGGAATTGCATACAAGGGTTGCATTCCATTGGAAAGAATAGATGGTGTTGAGTCCGTGGCGGGAAAATAGACACGAGAAGCAGCTGGAGTTCTCAGTTTCTTTTATTCAGCGTTCAGCTTACAGGAAGATGGCTTCAGCCTCGCCCAAACGCCTCGCAGCCTCTTATATAGGCAACTCCCGGGTAAATGGGTTACTTTTCCCGCGCCAGCACCCGCGCATGCGCACGGCGCTGGCGACAGCCTGTCTGGTCCCGGGCAGCTTTGCACCTGCCCGGGACTGCCTGCAAACGCCCGAGCCGTTTGCAAGGCTCGGGACATAACACCCCTTTCCCCCGGGCTAAAACTACTACCAACATACAACATTTATTTTATACGACAATTTGCTCCCCAGTGCTCCCACTGTTTACTGGCTTTTGCCTTGCCAGCAATGTTATGTAATCTTCTAGGTACTTAGGAGATTTCTTTGCTCTCTGTGACCTTCTTAGCTCTGGGTTACTGGCATAAGTTCCCTGACTGGAGGGAGGCGTGAGCCTGTTCTCTCTATTGTGCCCTGGTGTCTTCCAAGGACTGTGCCCCGATGCCTGGCCTGCTTGCTTGCCCACCGGGCTCGTCAGGCCAGGGCTTCTGTTGCTTTGTGACCTGGTTGTCCTACCTAGCTGTAGACCCTTAGGCCCCTTGAAGTGATAGCCACTGCTGGGCGTCTCTGTAGAACCTCCTAGGTCAGTCCAAGACCTGTCAGGAGGCTGTCCATTCCCTGAACCCCATTCTGTGCTCGGGCTCGTGTGGGTTTCTGTACTTTCCCAAAACTCAGGTGTTCCCTGATTTGTGCTAGGGGTGTTGTAGTCGGGACTTGGCTCCTCGACTAGCTCTGTGTATGTTTGACTCCCCTGTAGGATTTGGGGTAAGGTCAGGCCAACCTTGGGAATTGTGTGCCAGCTCTCTTGCAGGGGAATGATTTGTTGGGATGCCCCCGGGTATCCTCCGTGCTGGAGTGCTGTGTGATGTGTGTGGAAAGTGAGTATGCCCCGGGGTGACTCCCTGGCTGGAGTAGGCGTGAGTGCCTGTTGTGTGGGTAAGCTCCATGACTTTCTTTTCGGAGCAATTGCGGAACCCTGGGATGGGCCGTTTGTGGCTCCCTCAGTGGAGATGGGCAGTAGCTCTTGCCCTTCCCTTTGCTCCAAAGGGTCCCCCTCCCCCCCTGGAAAAGACCCAGGAGTCTCAGCAGAAAAGTCTCGCCTAGAGCGAAGTTGGTCGATGTGCCGACGCAGGACACGACCGTTGTCCAGGGCAACCTCGTAGGAGAGAGGACCTGTGATCCTGGACACAGAAGCGGGGACCCATGTATGACCAGGCCCGTAATTGCGAGCCCAAACCGGGGCACCCACAAGTAGTTGTCTAGGTGCCCTAGGATGTGAGGTAGATGAAGGCAGTCTGTCCGGATGCAACCGGTCAAGTCTAGTAGTAAGTTGGCGCCCCCAACGAAGTTCAGCTGGACTTCTCCCTGTAGAAGTGGACGGTGTGGTGCGATAAGAAAGGAGAAAGTCAGCCAACCTGTGATGCCAGTCCCCGTAGGTGAGTCTCTTCAAGGCGTCCTTTGCGATGCGCACCATGCGTTCAGCCATACCGTTGGTGGACGGGTGAAAAGGCGCAGACGTGGCATGACGAATCAGGTTTGCCTGTAAGAAAGCTTGGAATTCGGAGGAGGTGAATTGAGGGCCGTTGTCGGACACAATGACATCTGGCAGCCCGTGTGCAGCAAAAATCCCCCTCAGTACCTGAATAGTCTTTGCAGTGGTGGTGGATGAGACAGGCACAACCTCAAGCCATTTTGAATGGCTGTCAACAAGGACCAAGAAGAACTGGCCCTGAAAGGGCCCAGCGTAGTCAATGTGCACCCTAGACCATGGGGACTGTGTTTCCTCCCATCTATGCACAGGAGCTTGGGGCATCTCTGGGCGAGATCGTTGGCACAGGTGGCATGCGTGTACCTTAGCCTCAATACCTTTATCTAACCCAGGCCACCACAAGTGGCTTCGTGCAAGAGCCTTCATACGAACAATGCCAGGATGACCCTCGTGGAGGGATTCTAAGACCCTAGTCCTCATTGAGGTGGGAATGACAACTCTGTTTCCCCAAAGCAGACAACCCTGAGAAAGGGACAGTTCGTTCCTTTTGGACCAGAAACTCTGAAACTCAGGACTAGGGCAGTGCTCAGGCCACCCGGACAGGACCCAGGAGCGGACACGTGAAAGTGTGTGATCTGTACCTGTTTCAGCGGTAACATCCCTGCACTAAGAGGGAGCTCGGGCAAGGCTTGGATTGATAGAATGTTGACAGCTGGCGCGGGGTCAGCTTCTACTACTGGCAGAGGCAACCTACTGAGGCCATCAGCATGGCCCATTTCTTTCCCAGCATGGCCCATTGGCTTGTGGAGTAATGAAAAATCATATGCAGACAAAAAAATAGACCACCTAAGCATTCTAGGGGAAATGATGTGGGGAGTCTGCTTACGTGTGGTAAACAGTCCCAGCAGAGGCTTATGGTCAGTGAAGACCGTGAAATGCCTGCCATATAGAAAATCGTGGAATTTTTTAATTCCAGCAACAACAGCCAGAGCCTCCCTGTCTATCTGAGCGTAGTTGCGCTCGGCAGAAGACAGTGTTCTGGAGTAGTATGCAATAGGAACCTGAGTTCCATCAGACCTGAGGTGACTCAGGACAGCTCCAACCCCGTAGGGGGACGCATCACAAGCGATGCACACAGGAAGAGACTCGTTGAAATGTGCAAGAACACTGTTAGAAGTGAGCAAGGCCTTGACTTCTTTAAAGCAAGCCTCATGTGCTTGTGACCACAGCCACACAGCTTGTTTGTCTAGTAGCCTGTGAAGAGGCTCAGCTACACTAGCTTTATGTGGAAGAAAAGAATTGTAGAAATTCAGGAGGCCTAAGAAGGCCTGAAGTTCGGCCTTAGACTTTGGCCTGGGTGCTTCTAAAATAGCAGTTAGTTTGGATTCAGCAGGATGAATCCCAGCAGCATCGATTTTGAATCCCAGAAATTCAGTAGAAGGCACCCCAATCTTGCATTTGTCTTTTCTGAGCTTGAGGCCTGATTTCCTGAATCTTAACAGGACAGCCCTAAGCCTTTCAGCTAGAATGTGTGTGGAGTCTCCTGCAATCAAGACATCGTCAAAGTAGGGGCAGACCCCTGGTATACCTCGTAGTGTGTTTTCCATTACGCTTTGGAAAATCCCAGGAGCGACATTCACTCCAAACTGTAGCCTTTTTACCTTAAAGGCTCCCCTGTGGGTCACAATAGTCTGAGCTATAGCAGCATCATCATCAACAGGCAGCTGTTGATACGCTTGAGCTAGGTCAAGCTTTGCAAAAACACGCCCCCCCCTTG